CAAAATTAAAAGGAGGGGGGGGGGCCTGGGGTTTTGTATCCGAAAAATCGTTCTCTTGGACATTTCCCCCCACCCCATGAATTCACATCATACAACATTTGGACCCTCCCTTCATCAATTTTTGTGGTCGTGAAAGCTATCATCCTAGCCACAGGGCTTGACAAAAATTTCTTTACTAATTACCGTGTAGTGTCGAAGATTTCTTTTCATTTATCATGCACTAAAGTAGACTATAAATTAAATTCATATTTACCAATTAAAGAAAGTTAAGACGGGTCAAATTTACGAACGCATATCCTACTTTTGTTGTTTTCTTGCAAAATTTTGTTTTTCATGGGCACCTAGGGGCTAAATGTAAGTTTTCGAAATGTTGTACTTCCTTTTTGATCTGGGGCAAACTCAATATTCAGTGGTTCCTGATAGAGTGTTGACTTGAACATATTTTTCCGTAAAATACAATTTGATAGACGGTATTTATTTAGTGCATGGCAAAGAGTCACCGAGGAGATAAAGGAGATTTACCCGCAGTTGGGACTTAGCTCTAATCATGTCAGAACAGCCTGGAAGCGACACAAGGACAATTTGAAGAAGAAGAAAGACGAGAAGGAATTGAGGAAATTGGAGAGGGCTTTCAAGTCCTCATGTTCCAAAACAGGAGGGGGTGAAGGAAGTGATCCCCCGTCCGGTAAGTAACTTTGAATGTTTATGTTCATGTAATATGATTTTGATTCTCATCTCTTGGGTATAACTTTCCAAGAGGCTTCAACATAGAGCGAGCATACATAAAAGGGGGGGGGGAGTTTTTAAAGTCTGAATAATACATTAATTTTGTGTCATGTTAAGAGTTTTTTGATTTTAATTGTGTATTTATTAAATTGCTTTATATTTTCGAAAAATCATTGTTTTTTAAAGAGAAAAAATAATCAAGAAAAGATTCTTAGTTAAGACTGGGGTCTATATTTGGTTGAGAAATAGTTTTTTCCTAACCCCTATTAAAAAACCTTTCTTACTGAATTGTTTTTCCCACAGTATATTGATAGGTGTTTTTTTCGCTCATTTTTGGATAATAACCAAATGTTGGGATAAACCTAAAAAAAAGCGACATTTAAAAAAGAAAAATTTGCCCATTTTGTTTTATTCGAAAATCGGTTAAAAAATATACACATAGTATAATTATTATTTTCTTATTTTGTTATTTTGCTTATTTTTTCTGTTTATCATAATCTTATTTCAAATATTTTTCGTTAAGATTTTGATCCAGATGAGGGGGAGAAGGATCCATTAATAGTGATATCCTATGAACCTACCTATCCAGAATCTTTGACCCCAGTTCTGCCTTTGGATATAATTGAACATCTCAACTTGCAAAGTCTAGATTTTCAAAATGTAGAGGTAGGTTGATGATACATTTTTTATTAAAAAGAATATTTTTCATTACGATGCAAACTTAAAGGGAGTGTCTGGCTAGACATGGTAGTTGAGCGGAGAATGCATTAGTGTAAGATAATTTTTTTAGGATTCACTTAAATGGGAAATTTTATAAAGTTGTGTTTTTCCATTCTTTGTTCTCTACATGTGTTTCACAAAAGTTCATCTTTAGTCTAAAGTAACAAATTTATAAATGTTTCTGGAAACAATTTTGTTAAAAAGAAATCTTCCAATTTTTGGCCTAGTTGGTGTGATAGTTGTAATATTCAATAGTTAGTTGGTTAGAAACTTGTAATATCTGAGTTATTAACTAAGTACTAAATCAAGGATGAAAAACACCCATGAAATTTAATTCTTTACAACCAGAGCCAGAGAAGCCAGAGAAGCCAGAGAAGCCAGAGAAGCCGAAAAGAAAAAGTTCTGAACTGTTCTCTGTTAAAGTTTCAGACTTTGTAAGTAAATTTAGTTTAAAAAAGATATAATTTATAAATTAGTTTGAACGATTTTAAATCTTTAATTTTTGTATTTTTCGTTCATTTAAAAAAATACTTTTTTATTTCTCTGAATGTTCCCTTTAAACGTCAATTTTTGGTTTTTTATTTCTGAAAGACACCATTTTTTATAAAAAATTGCACACCCTATTAAATATTTTGTTCATTCATAAAATGATGTCCAACCCTAGGGGTAACCTGTATTTTCTGAAGTTCCATGAAAATTGTATGTATTTGAAATTTGGGTGGTGTATTTTTCGACCTACACATATCCGCCATACTCCACTTCTGACCTACGCGAAATCCGCTATACTACATATCCGAGATCCGACCTACTAGCACGTGGTAGTACAGCTGCTACATGGACTTGTGGCCGCAGCGCCCGGTCCCCTAGGTCAGAAGTTCAGTAGGGGGGATGTTGCGTATAGACGATGTAACATTACCGAAATTTGATATCAAACTAAATAACATATTTTAACTTTTCTTTGCTTTTAAACGTTATGAAATAATTCCAGACAGTCGACATGAACAAAAAATAGACACAAAGTTATAAATTTGTTGATTTGAATTAAATCCATTTTTAGGAGACTACGGAAGAACCTTCAACAAAGAAGAGCAAGAGACAAGATCGAATTATGATTTTAGAAGAAAATAAAAAAAAATATGTTGAGGACAAAAAGAAGAAAAAAGTTAAAAACGATGGAAGTCGAAGGAACACGGATGTGGAGGAATTAGATAAACAAAATCTAACTCTGGATATCGAACTAAAAAAAGAACAATTAAAAGCTCACATTTTATCAAATTACATTCTTCAATGTAAAATCAACAAACTAAAAAGTGAAAGTGAAGAAGACGGATGGGAGATGCCACCCAATCGCCCAGTAAGAAATTGGAAACTTGTCGGTTTATTTTGTCAACATTTAAAAATAATGTCTCAAATAATGAATGACATTTCTTTCTAGGCGTTAGGGCGCTTCGCGCCCATCTTCTATTTCAACTTTTAATTGTGGCTTTATCTCTGAACATCTTCTCTTTGTACAGTATAAAACAAAAACAAAAAAGTTTGCAGATTTCATAATATTTTTTTGCTCATTTTCAAAATTTTTCAAAAATAAAAAACTGTTAAACATAAATTTTTAAAATTTTGATCATTCATAAACCTTCCCTGGGGTCACGTGAGGACCCACAAAAAATTTGGGCCCGATTGGTTCAGCCGTTTTGACGTTTATTNGGAGAAAGTGATGACAACAGCAATGAGGACAGTGTTGACAACAGCAGCGGGGACAGTGAAGACAACGGCGATGAGGACAGTGATGAAAACAGCGGCGGGGACAGTGATGACAAAGGCGGGGGAGAAAGTGATGACAACAGCAATGAGGACAGTGTTGACAACAGCAGCGGGGACAGTGAAGACAACGGCGATGAGGACAGTGATGAAAACAGCGGCGGGGACACTGATGACAACAGCGGCGGGGAAAGTGATGACAACGGCAATGAGGACAGTGTTGACAACAGCGGCAGGGACAGTGATGACATCAGCCATGAGGACAGTGATGAAAACATCTGCGGGGACAGTGATGACAACGGCGGCGGGGAAAGTGATAACAGCGATGATGAGAACAGCAGCGGGGGCAGTGATGACAACAGTGGTGGGAACAGTGACGAGAACGGCGGCGGGGATAGTGATAACAACGGCGACTGGGACAGTGATGACGAGGATGATGCTGTAATTGATGACGAGCCCGGTAGGAGATTGCAGAGATTAGATCCCCGTGGTTTACCAGATTATATGTTTCAAGAAAACTTTGGATTTTCGAAAGCTGAAGTTGATGATCTGGTTTTTTTACTAGATATTCAGGTATTTTCAGTCTGAAAAATATGGGAATAGTTTTCTTTTTAATAATAATTTTTTGTATATTTTCTTGTATATTTTTTTTTGCAATTTCATAGTAGCTGCTGAGCTCTAATACATTTTAGCTTTTTTATAAGTTGGTGAACATAAATGTTTTGGGAAAAAAAATTGTTGTTTTCGTGGTAAAAATGCTCGCTGGTTAAATTTTCTGTTTAATTCTAAGTTATTTAAACATAACCCACCTCCCCTCTGGGGGAGTTTTTAAAAACCTATTTAAACACATATTAGGACTTTGTAACAATAATTCACAATGTACCCTTTAAACCGTCATCGGATTTTAAATATTACACAGTTTGATTTTAATAATTTCTTCTGTTGTTTCTGTTTCATGCAGAAAAATCACATTTGAATAAAATAAATTTTTGGAAAAGAGTGAAGATAAAAAAGTATAAGGTTTATATATTATTTCCATATACATTCTTGTTTTTAGGTCACTGAAAATCGGGGAGAACCCTTATCCCCATTCCTACAAGTGTGCATCGCTCTTTTAACATACAGAGGAGGATGTTTTCAAAGATTGTCTGGCCTGTGTGGTGGAGTTTCTAGGACAGCAGCTCGGATCTCTATTATTCGGGTTACCGATGCAATCCTTGAATTCAAGGATGAATATTTAAGGATGCCAAGTATGGTTGACCGGGATCGAGTAGCCAGGGAATATTTTGAGCGCTTCGGCATCCCGAAAATTGCTTACGGAGTAGACGGCATGCATGCCAAATTCGTTGGCATGCCTCGGGACAGGCCTGCCCACATTCCACCACAAAGGTTTTGGAACAGAAAACAATGTTATTCCCTCAACGTGCAGGTAATCACCAATTTTTAATATTGGCCCAATATTTAATTATTGACAAATTAAGAAAAAGAGAACAAATAGTGCAATCTACAAAATTTCGCCAAAAATATATACGAATTTTCAAAACCCCCACAATTGTCCACTTGCTTTTTACATTTACATTCAGGGAGTTCGGAGTTCACCACAAAAATATGAGACCATCTAGAACTCTTTAAATCGAGTTTGGACTTTCATCACTGTCCTAATACATAAATAAAAGTATAAAACTGAAAAAAAACCGTACAGTAGGCTCTGCAGCAGTCTCATTTCTAGTCGTGAACACTGTATACAAATTAAAAATTCAGAATTACAATGATTCTTACAGTGTCAACTAGAAAACTATGGAATAGAAAGATGACACTTAAAAGACTCAAGTGTCAAAAAAGAAATTGTGCGGTTTAAACAAACCAACTTTAATTAATTAGGGATTTTATAAGTGTCTAGAAAAACTATTTGCTATTTAACAACATCAAATACAATGTATTGCTATAAAGTAGTCTTCCTATTTCAGAGTTTAAGTATGTTTATTAGTAACTCGTAGTTAATATAAAGTAATAACACAAACAAACCATAGACAACTACTTTTTCATTAAATTAACATATCATAGGTGAACTAAAATATTTATTGATATTTTCATTTACTGAAAACTAAATATATCTTGTCACAATATTATGAATATTCACAATGCTACTCTAAGCACTGTGTTTATTATCGATTATTATAAAAGATAAAATATGGTTTGCTGAATTGATAGGCCAGATTCAGGTTGCCAGAAACAGTTATCCGAGAAAGCTCAACATAATCTCCCGTACTCGTCTAAGAGGCCTAGAACATAAATATTCATTATTTGATGTATCAAATAATAAAATAAAGTACGTTTTTCAAATTTAATCATTAAATTTAGAAAATTTTCAAGAATTATTATTTACACAAACATTATACGGTTATAAAAACGTTCTTTAAGACAGATCCCTTGATTTGATATTGTATTATCAAAATTATTAATATCCATTTTAAATTATTTACAAGTTGTTGAAGGACTACAGTCACATGCTCAACTGTGTCCATGTTCATTACATTTAATGGGATACATGTTAAATTTTTGAGTCGGTCCTATTATATGATTTTTAGACCCCACCCCCTCCTATAAATTTTTTAACATGATCAACTAATTTTTTGCATAATTATTTTGATTTATTTTGTATTATTTTAGGGTAAGGAGGTGGTAATTCCTATAAGTATAGGATTTTTATACCNAATTTTGTATATGAATCTCATATGTATCAGATTGATATTATTGGCCCCCTGGCATGTCCAAGACGCAGTGCTCAGCCCAGAAATTGTCTTAACCTAACCCAACCCTCAAATGACAAAATAAATATTTTTTTGTTGAAAATAGTTGAAGTTTAGGCCATGTAAAAAATTGATAGGAAGGGGGGTGGGGGGCCGGAGGGGGCAAAATTCGTATCACGGACCCAATTAGATTAAAAGAATTTATTAGCCGAGTGCTGAAGTTAGGACAGGATATAGGGCCGAGCGCCGTGGTTAGGAGTCTGGGACATGCTAGGTGGCCAGGAACTGCCACATGAACAATTATGTAAATGTGTGACATATGAGACGCATGTACAAAATTGATAAGGGGGGGGGGGGATGGATAAGGAAAATGGAACTGCAATTAAAGAAAAGATTTGGACCGAGAATTAAATTTACAAGTTAATTACCTATTCATATATGGTTTTGCTAATTATATTTCCCGTCTTCCAGTGTATCGTTAGAATTTTTCTTTGCTTAATTGCTGATTAGTCTCCTTTTAACATCATTCAGCTCCGTCCTCAGGGTTTTGAAATTTACTTCAGTTGTTGCAATTGATCCCAGCTTAGTATTATAAATTCCAGTGTATCGGTAGTATTTTCCATTGCTTGGTCACTTGCTTATCAGTCTCAAGTCTGTTGTTAATAAATCTTATTGTTTCACATCATCGAGTCCGAGTTCAAAGTTTATTTATTTATTCAATTTATTGTTTAAATTTGAACAGAATTTGCGGCATTCTTGCAGATATCTTCCTATTGGTCCAATTCCAACCTATAATAATCCACGAAATAAAATATTAAACCCGACTTATTGGAAAATTAGATGCAACTTTATTCTAGACCCGAGCCGTAAATAAGACCCAACGACAGCTTAGACCCGAGCCGTATTTCCCCGAATTTTTTAAATCGCCGGCTCAGGAAACATTCAGGTTATTTGTCTCTTTAAAAAAATCAGAATCATTAGCGAACATTTTTCAGACATATCATTTTACAAAATTCCTTTAAAAAAATAATCAATTGTTTTTAAAAATACTATCGTTTTCAAAAAAGATCGGTTTTCCTTTTTATCAAAGTTCAAAAGAAGTGGTTCTTTACAAAAACATTAGTTTAAAAAAAAAAAAACATTTAAAGAGAAAAAATATAAACAAAATGAAAAACTATTGTTTTTTTATTGTTTTTGAAATAAATCGACATATTGATATCTAATCTATACTTGATCAGACTTTTAAGGGTACCATGTTAAATCGGGCTATGACATCTTTGCATAGAGGTTGGATGCCTTTCTTTAAAGGAAATTCCATTAAGATATAAACAAGAGGCCCTTTAAGGTTCTATCTCTGGTTTGTTCTAAGTAATTAGCAAATGCTTTGTTATGATAATCCTCTTGGATTTAGATGAAAACTAATGCACTAATGTGTTTGGAAATCAAAATTGCCAACATGTCTTCAGATATAGATACAGTGGGACCCAGAAAATTGTGGAGTAAGAAGACACAAGATTTTTATATTTAAAATCCTAACTTGAATTTAAAATTCCTATTTTATCAATAACTAGCAGAAAGGCCCAGCGTTGCTCGTAAAAAAATAAAATTTGAAAAACAAATTTGAAAAAGATGTGAAAAAATTTCTAATTTTTTTGACCCATATCACCCCCCGGCCACCCATGAGTGTCCACAAAAATTGTCAGCCCAATCGGTCCAGCCCTTTAGCTGGCTGTACGTAACATATATATATGAATGTCTTGTTTTATTATATAGATTAATTAATATGCTAATCTTATTACTGAAAGAAAAGATATACTACACGTAGTGCTGGGCACGTTCCGACTTTTTAAAATCGTTCCGTCGTTTCGTTCTAGAACGAAGGCATTTGCAGCTAGATCGTTTCATTCTTGTTTATTTCTTTCAATCCTTCTATAATTGCAGTTTTAACCCAAGATTATAATTCAAGCAAAGTTATAAATGCAGTTTCAACCCAAGATTATAATGCATGCAAAGTTATAATTGCAGTTTCAACCCAAGATTATAATGCAAGCAAAGTTATAATTGCAGTTGGGTTTACTCTGCGGAGTGCGGACATATTGAAACCAGTTCTCTCTGGGCGGAATTTGTAAACAAGAATAGATACATCAGTGTCCGCAGTTACAGGAGTGAAGACAGAGGTTCCCTTGAAGATTCCCATCACTCTGAAACTACTTCAATCCATAATATTTGATTCGTATAGTATCATCTTTTTAGTTTTTGTATCTTTGTAAATAATAAACTGTAAGTTAAACCGACTCGTCGAATATTTAATAATACGAGTAGTTGTCTTGATTCATTTTTCTTTCATATTCAATAATATCTTAAAAAGATGGCATCCGCCTCTCCTTGTACTCTGTTAATTTTAGACAAAAACCAAAGATAAAAATTAAGCTTAACAAGTCCCCCAAAAAACCAAAAATCAAAAAGTTTAAATCTTCAACTAACAGTGTATCCACAACGTACAACAGGATATCTTAAAAAGATGGCATCCGCCGCTCCTTGTACTCTGTTAATTTCAGACAAAAACTAAAGACAGAAATTAAGCTTAACAAGTCCCCTCAATAGACCTAAAAATCAAAAGGTTTAAATCTTCAACTAACAGTGTATCCACAACGTACAACAGGATATCTTAAAAAGATGGCATCCGCCGCTCCTTGTACTCTGTTAATTTCAGATAAAAACCAAATTACAAAAACTCAAAAAAACCAATTGCCGAAAAAATCGGAAAAATATTTAGATCACCTTAATAAAATAGCGATCTTACCAACAAAATGTACAAAAAGTGTTAATCAGAACAAAAAAGTAATAAATTTTAAAAAAATGGTTTAATTAACTTAAATTTGTGTTCTTTATCATAAAAAATTGGACGTCTGCTTGCCAGATTTGAGTAACTTAAAAAACGTACTTCAATAAAAGACTAAAAACCTCTTTTTCATTCTCATTAACACTTCTATGAAAAAAAATGACTTACTTGAAAGAGTAGTTTGAGTAATGGACGTTTATTCACTGATCTTGGTAACTTTTTAACAGAGAGTGTTTTACTAGTTTACAAAGTATTTATATGATTGCAACCAGACAGCGGAAGGTATTGCGAGTAGTATTTTGGCAACAATGTTTTGCGTAAGGCTGGGTAGTTTGCGTATATAGTAGATGTGTCATGTTAAAGGTTGGATTTGAAAAATAGAAGATTTGTGAAAATATTGACACAAGTGATGATGGTGATGAGACCAGTGAAGACAACTGTGATGAGGACAGTGAAGGCAACGGCGATGAGGACAGTGAAGACAACGGCGATGAGGACAGTGATGAAAACAGCGGCGGGGACAGTAATGACAAAGGCGGTGGAGAAAGTGATGACAACAGCAATGAGGACAGTGTTGACAACAGCAGCGGGGACAGTGAAGACAACGGCGATGAGGACAGTGATGAAAACAGCGGTGTGGACAGTGATGACAACAGCGGCGGGGAAAGTGATGACAACGGCAATGAGGACAGTGTTGACAACAGCGGCAGGGACAGTGATGACATCAGCCATGAGGACAGTGATGAAAACATCTGCGGGGACAGTGATGACAACGGCGGCGGGGAAAGTGATGACAGCGACGATGAGAACAGCAGCGGGGGCAGTGATGACAACAGTGGTGGGAACAGTGATGAGAACGGCAGCGGGGATAGTGATAACAACGGCGACTGGGACAGTGATGACGAGGATGATGCTGTAATTGATGACGAGTCGGCTAGGAGATTGCAGAGATTAGATCCCCGTGGTTTACCAGATTATATGTTTCGAGAAAACTTTGGATTTTCGAAAGCTGAAGTTGATGATCTGGTTTTTTAAATAGATATTCAGGTATTTTCAGTCTGAAAAATATGGGAATAGTTTTCTTTTAATAATAATTTTTTGTATATTTTCTTGTATATTTTTTTTTGCAATTTCATAGTAGCTGCTGAGCTCTAATACATTTTAGCTTTTTATAAATTGGTGAACATAAATGTTTTGGGAAAAAAAATTGTTGTTTTCGTGGTAAAATGCTCGCTGGTTAAATTTTCTGTTTAATTCTAAGTTATTTAAACATAACCCACCTTCCCTCTGGGGGAGTTTTTAAAAACCTATTTAAATACATATTAGGACTTTATAACAATAATTCACAATTGTACCCTTTAAACCGTCATAGGATTTTAAATATTACACAGTTTGATTTTAATAATTTCTTCTGTTGTTTCTGTTTCATGCAGAAAAATCACATTTGAATAAAATAAATTTTTAGTTGGATAAATTAAGATATCTCATTTGTCAATAAAAGCATTTAAGTGTAGAAGCGTTTGAAATTATGTGTATTGTTTCTTTAATATTTTTTGGGGGAAAAGAGTGAAGATAAAAAAGGATAAGGTTTATATATTATTTCCATATACATTCTTGTTTATAGGTCACTGAAAATCGGGGAGAACCCTTATCCCCATTCCTACAAGTGTGCATCGCTCTTTTAACATACAGAGGAGGATGTTTTTAAAGATTGTCTTGCCTGTGTGGTGGAGTTTCTAGGACAGCAGCTCGGATCTCTATTATTCGGGTTACCGATGCAATCCTTGAATTCAAGGATGAATATTTAAGGATGCCAAGTATGGTTGACCGGGATCGAGTAGCCAGGGAATATTTTGAGCGCTTCGGCATCCCGAAAATTGCTTACGGAGTAGACGGCATGCATGCCACATTCATTGGCATGCCTCAGGACAGGCCTGCCCACATTCCACCACAAAGGTTTTGGAACAGAAAACAATGTTATTCCCTCTCCGTGCAGGTAATCAGTAACAGCGAGAGGATATGTGCGGTAGATGTAGGTTGGCCTGGATCTGCGCATGACTCAAGGATCTGGACAAGATCATTGGAGAGGCTTATAGTGGAGGCCGATCCTTCCCATAGAATCTGCGGGGACTCCGCCTATCCAATATCCGCTGTAATGGTGAAGCCCTATCCTGCCCAAGAAACCCGCAACAATCGTGAGAACCGAATTTTTAACAAAAAACTTTCTCAAATTCGTACACTCATGACTGAAGAACTATTCAGCCAATGGCAACGGATGTTCCCTTGCATCACAAACATGAGAACTCATCTACAAACATGAGAACTCATCTGAAGACATTCCAAAAGATCATCGTGGCAACTGCCATTCTTTTCAATATAAGAAAGGAGATGCGAGACTCGGACGAGTTTAACAGACTGGACTGGGGATTAGATTGGGTAGGATTAAACCCTCGAGTTTACGTCTCAGATTTAGAGATGAGACGGGTAGGACGTGGAGATGAGCTATGCAATATGATGGTTATTTAATTAAATTTTCTTTGTATTTTCTATGTATTTTGCATAAATCATTGTAAAATAACAATGTGTCAAACTTTCAATTAATCAACTGATAGACTAAACAATCAATCAATCAATGAGTCAATTTAGTATTTAAAAAGTAATTAGAGTCTGTAAATTGTAAATAATCAATTTATCCATCTTACCTTGATATATATTTAATATAAAATATTTTTTATATCTCCATTCATAACTTATGAATACCTTGACCGTTTAAACTGGTTAAAAATTATCAGTGTTAACTTAATGTCTATGAAAATGTAATTTACTCCAGGAAAAGCTGGCTTCCCAAGCAAGTGACTTTAATAATAATTAAAAAATTTAAAAAAAACAGTTTTAGAAATATTCAAATTAAAACTATGCTTGGTTAAAGTTTGTTACAAAAAGTAGATTTGTAATCAGTTTAAAAACTTCTCTAAATGAAATTAACATTAATGTAACAAATCTTTGAATTTGTTTTCTATTATTATATTATTGTAAACTAATATAATATATTGCTAACACTGTTAAATTTATTATTTGCCTGAAGTTGATAAAAGATAAAATGTTTATTTCTTTCCATAGACAATTTTTTTTCATCATTCCAAAACTTCAAATTTGATTAAAATTGACTACGTAAATGATAGAAGGAATAGAAGGCTCTAGTTTAAACCATACATTCCGACATTTCTAGTAGGCACAAAAAAATGTCCAATTTTTAATATTGGCCCAATATTTAATTATTGACAAATTAAGAAAAAGAGAACAAATAGTGCAATCTACAAAATTTCGCCAAAAATATATACGAATTTTCAAAACCCCCACAATTGTCCACTTGCTTTTTACATTTACATTCAGGGAGTTCGGAGTTCACCACAAAAATATGAGACCATCTAGAACTCTTTAAATCGAGTTTGGACTTTCATCACTGTCCTAATACATAAATAAAAGTATAAAACTGAAAAAAAACCGTACAGTAGGCTCTGCAGCAGTCTCCTTTCTAGTTGTGAACACTGTATACAAATTAAAAATTTAGAATTACAATGATTCTTACAGTGTCAACTAGAAAACTATGGAATAGAAAGATGACACTTAAAAGACTCAAGTGTTTACTTTAAATAGTCCAAAAAGTATGGGACATAGAAATTGTGCGGTTTAAACAAACCAACTTTAATTAATTAGGGATTTGAGTTTGTTTTTAATCTTTGTGAAGAAACAATCTCAAGAACTGACAAGGGTCAACCCAGACCGAAATATATTTTCAATAAATGTGGAACTAACATCTACTTTTTTACTCTACAGAGGTTTGGTCCATCACCATCACTGAATTTTAAATCTAGAAAAACTATTTGCTATTTAACAACATCAAATACAATGTATTGCTATAAAGTAGTCAAGTTCTAAGCTTTGCATTAGATTTCTTTCTAATTTATGTAAAAATGACCTCAACACAGTTCTTGGCAGAAATTTATTTTCTATTGCAAATGATTGTTCTGTAAATCCTTCTGATCTTAGTAAAATGTTAGTTAAGAAACAAATGAAATATTTTGATGTCCCATTGGAACATGAATGGAAAAGAATTTTTTAAATCGCCGGCTCTGGAAACCTCTGGGGAACTGGGATTACAATGGGAACTGGGTTGATTTCTCAAAGCATAAATATCAGAGGTTTAAGTAGCATTATTTCAAAGATAAACCCATCTACAGCTTTCAGTGAAACAACACTATAAACTTAAATATCTATCGAGCAATGTTTATAAATATTCAGCAAATACTGGGTAAATTCCATAATCATGTGTATGTTTCATCAGTTCATGTCACGTAGGTAAAGAATAGTCAAAGACATAGAGAATAGAATATATAGAGAGGAATTAAAAGAATCTCTCGGTATGAACTTTTTCAGTCCCTTTCAGCCTGAAAGGGAGTTCAAAGTGGACAAATCATGTAAATGTTTCCAAATTATATGCAGTAGAGTACATTAATACAGTATGTTCCCTAGACTATTCATTTAAATTTCGAAAATTTTAAAGCTGTTAAATAAACTTTATAATGAATTAGGAGAATAAAAACATCATTTGATTTATAGTTATAACGGAAAATCATCATTTGTAAAGCGAAAGGCATAGAGTCTATGTAAAATGATCATTGGTCAATTATGAAACCAGCCTATTTCATAATTTGGTTTTCTTTTAACAATAATTTTAGATTTTCTATAAAATGATATTCCAGGGCCCAAAAGGTTATATAGCATAAATATGTGAAGTACACCTGCAGTATAGAAACAGTACAACAAAATGGCCGTTTTACACTTTTTTCCAGTAAATTCCTCTCTATATATTCTATTCTCTTTGGTCAAAGAGTAGTATTGTTCAGATATCTCTAAACTGAAAATACATATTTTTAGATATAATAGTAAACATCTATAAGCACATATGAAAATCTACTATTGGTAATAACTATATAAATAAAAATTAAAAAGGTTAACATACCATTAACGCTTGGGTGAAAGAATAGCTCCTACAGCTAATTTAAATTTGCAGTATGCTTTGATTTCAAATATAAAAAACAGGATTATCTAAACACAGTAACTATAAGGTATAGTGCAGTTTACAAGTATACATAAATAAAACCTTAAATCCTGAAATAATAATACCAAGAGAAACCTATAGATATTTCATTGAGCCCATTACTAACGTTCCTCATATTAAAACAGTTTTATGCACTCGTTTAGTACAATTTGTGACTAGTTTATCAAATTGTCATAAGCTATGTATTCGACTTTTAGTAGATCTAAGTAAACATGATTTAAGAACTGTTTAATGTAAAAATCTTGAATCTAAAGCACAGGATTGTAATGTACAATCTAGAAATATAAACAAATTTTGCGTGAAACTAAATATGATATACAATCATATTCCTTTCGACCAAGAATGGAAATTACCCATTCTTCATGATTTACTTAAAGTTAAAGAAGATAATTTTGTTCTAAACAAATTTGATGATAATGAGATCGCAACCATGATCAACTTTTTATATTCCGACTAGAAACTATATTTATGTGTTATACTTTATTCTTTTTTTGTCTTATCATATTGTAACATTTTACCTTTGTGTAAGAAATAAATCTATAATAATTCAGATTTATATCCTATGTGTTTAAAATCTTAATTACCCCTTTTGCACAGCTAATCAGAAGGTCATAAAAGTTTTAAATTTATTCTATTGAAACCAAATAGATTTTCTCATACTTGGGGTGAAATGAAAACTACTGAAGTGACGAGGTCACAAAGTTGTAGCAGTAGTTTCATATGAATTTCTTTATCATTAGATTAAAGTAAAGTTACTTTTTTCTGTCTCCTCTATCCTAGATTGTCCTGGAAAGCATCTATCCTGGGTTGCCCATAGAAAGCATCTATCCTGGGTTGCCCCTAGAAGAATCTACAATGGGTTGCCCCTAAAAATTATATATCCCTGGGTTGCCCCTAGAAATGCATCTATACT